CAATCAAATGAAAGAGGTTACAGATCCAATAACAGATCTGGCAAAAACTCCCCAACATAACACCACACGTAGTGCATCGAAAAGATCAAAACAAGGTGATGATTCATTCGAACAAGAACATCGTATGGTCAATGCACGTAACCAATACTTCAACAGCACTGTTCCTCGAACAAATCAACAGCATCAACAACAAAATGTTACGACATCTTCTTCTGAACATAATCATCTTAGCGTAACCATCTCCAGATCAACGTTTCCACCTTTTCGTATAAACTTTACCGGTAATAGTTGGCCGTCGGAATTATCAATCATTAAAGATATGAATAAGCATTTCCGCATCGGTCTCTCTTATGGTCGGTACTCATCTAATGGTAATAAAAAATGTTTTCTTATTTATGCAAATACTAGTGAACAATTCGATCGATTAATGGATAAAATATCATGGCCAATCCAGATATGCTCTTCTGATTATGAAATTTCGTTTCCTGTTAAAGTACCAATGGCATACTCAATTGTTGCTACTGGTGTTCCTGCACAGTGGGATATGAGTCTTTTTGAATCGGATATTAAAAAGCAATATCCTACAATAATCAAAGTAGAACGACTCTATGTTAAAGGTGGTATTCCAATATCTAAAGTTAGAATCGATTTTTCAACAAATCAAGAAGTAAAGAAAATTATACAAAGCAAGCGTCTACTACTTGATGATGAAAACACATCGTTCATGGTACAACCGTACTCTCCACCAACAAAAATATTACGATGCTTTAACTGTCAAGTATACAACGACCACATTGCAGTTAATTGTCCTTATAAAGACAAACCTAAATGTTTCCGCTGTGGATCAAACCATCCGTACAATCCAAATTGTCAAAATGATATCTGTTGTGCTAATTGTGGTCAAGGTCATATGGCAGGTAATCCAAATTGTCCAATCAAAGTAGAAGAACGCAGAAAGCAACAGCAGCTGTCAAAGAATATGATATCGAACAAAAATATTAACTACAACAACAACAAATTATTTTTACAAGAAAAATCTCGTGAAACTCAGAACGTATGGTTTAATAATGCTGCTAAAGAAGCTTTACAAACACCAACTTATACTACAATTCAAAATGAAAAAGCAACTGAACGTCCAGACTTGTTAGATGAAATGAATATGAAATTGAATCAAATAGTTAACAGTCTAGACAAACTCGCACAAGATCAAGCAAAATTAAATTCAAATATTTCAAATGCATACCATTTGATAAAGTCATGTCAAAATGACATTGTTTTACTTAACAACTTTGTAATGAAAGATGTATGTCCATTTCTTATAAATTTAAGTAATGCTGTAATGAATTTCGGAAAGAAGGATCAAACAGAAAAATTACATCCAAATATTAAAAAGTTTAAACAACGGTATGAAGAAACAATGAAAACAATAGAAAAGAAATCAGAAGATAAAAATCAAATAGATGATCCTATACTATATAGATCGTCCCCGAATGAATCCAACAGCAGCAGTATTTAATCCGAAACAAAAGAAACCATTTCTTATCAATGTTAATCAACTTACGAAACATGAAGAAAACACTTTTAAAATGATTTTTGAAGAATGGACAAATACTCCAACACTTGATCTCTTGTTAGACAAATGGTCAATTTATCGTGATAAAACTTTATCGATGTTAAATATTAAAGATAATATTTCAATACTTTTACTAAATGTCTCCAGCTTAAATCGTCATATGGTAGAGATCTTTAAACTTATTGATACTACTTCTCCATCAATTATTACATTAAATGGAACACATCATGATGAAAGATCGACTAAACAGTTTACGAAACACTTCTTTAACTATAATGTCTTCTCGATCAATGGTACAAATGCTTTTGGAGGTGTTTTAGTTGCTATACATAAATCAATTCGTACTCAAAGAATGGTTGAGTTCGAGAATATACCGAACTTGATTGCGCTAGAAATAGGTGAAGAACAAAATAAATTTCAATTAGTCACATGTTATTCACCACCACATGAACAAATTCCTTTTGAAATTTTTGATCGAATATTACAAAAAAATGAAAATACTATCTTCACCGGAGACCTAAATGCTAAACACAATTCTTGGTCTCGCTCGGTGGAAAATCCAAAAGGAAAAACATTATTTAATTGGTTATCCTCATCACCAACACATGCAACAATGGAAATTATTAATAAATTTATTCCAACGTCTACTCGTTCAAAGGCAACAATTGATCTAATTATTGCACCGTCACATATGGCATCAGATACTTTTTCAGTTTTGCCATCCATTGGTAGTGATCATCATCCAGTTATTTGGCGCTCTACAATTAAAATATCTACTGCACATCAAAAATATCCAATTAAACGAACTCACTGGAAATTATTTGAAGTTTTTCTTACGTTTACCGGTAGTTATTGGAATAAACTTGCAGAAGATATGGCTCATTCAACTACTTTTTTCACACTCTACGAGAGATTTCTATCGTTGAGTATATCACGTTTTACCAATGTTACATTCAGAAAGTCGTTCAAACCAACTTTACCACAAAATATTATACTTTTAATTAATAAAAAACATATGTATTTAAAATTATTTCGAAGAACCTATCATCCATATTATGCAATAATGTTACGTGATATATCGAAACTAGTACAAAAAACACTTTTTCAATATAAAAGAAAATTATGGCTCGACTATTGTGGTTCATTCAATGACTGTGATACAAAATCTTTTTGGCAAAAGGCAAAACGACATTTCCGTTCAAAATCTACACCAGTTGAAGGTTTTGTTATTAACAACAACACCATTACCTCACCAGATGAAATGTGTGCTGTTGCAAAAAATTATTACGAAGAACAATTTACTGATCATCAAGATACAAAAACAGATATCGATATTGAAGCAAGAATAAATGTGAACGAACTCAATGAAATCCTGATTAACAGACCTCCTAATCCGATGAATATTACTTATCAACAACTATACAGGATCATTACATCCATGAAAAAGAAAAACTCATCAGGTATAGATGGAGTTTCAAATAGAATCATCAAGATACTTCCACCAAATCATGTATCAATCGTTTTGGCATGCATGAATAATTTTGCCTCTACTCTACAAACACCCACACACTGGCATATTGCAAGAATGATATTGTTATCCAAAACAAAATCTAAGATAACATCTATAGATAAAACAAGACCAATTTCGTTATTACCATGTTTTTCCAAATTATTTGAAAAATGTTTTTTGATACAATTTCGTAGTTGGATAGATGATTTTGCAATACTTCCAGCAGAACAAACAGGTTTTAGACCAAAACACAACATGTCTGTGCGTCTGATAGCTATGATCGATCAAATTGGCCAAAGTCTGTCAATGAATACAGCAGCAGCAGGACTTTTTGTGGACTTCAGTTCTGCTTTTAACCAGTTATGGTTTAATGGATTATGGTTAAAGCTGAACAAATTACATTGTCCATTGTATATAATAGCCTGGCTGAAACATTACTTGTGTGGTAGGAAAGCTTACATCGACATTAAAAATACAATTTCATCTACTTTTGATCTCAAGAAAGGCGTTCCACAAGGGAGCTGTATAGGTCCTGTATTATTCATTGTATACCATCATGATTTACTTGAAGCACTGTCGACTATTCATTGGAAGCATTTATATGCAGATGATTTGGCGGTACTTATTGCACCATCATCAGCACTGTCATCAAAGAAAATGATTAAATCACTAAGAAGACAACTAGTACAGATACTAAGACGATTGATAACATATTCAAACAAGTGGAAACAACCAATCAACTATGATAAAACATATTGGACTTTCTTCAATCGTCAAGCTAATCCTATCATACCTAATATTCAGTGTAAAGAACACAAGATTGAAC